CTTTATCGTACGCTTCCTTTACTTGCACAAAGGTCTCAGAAGGTTTGAGTATAAGGTCCCGTTGATTCAGGTTAAATTCATATTTATAAGGAGTCAGCTTTTTCCGTAGGAGGTCTTAATGGTGAATGCATTACTTAGGCAGCAACCGCTGGTTTCACAATCCCTACTTGTGAGAACGTTCCCTTTTGACATTCAGCTTGATCTTTAGCTAGTATTTCCCATTTTCACAATGCGTTGTGCTCTAGAACATGCGCGTTTTATGTGCCAAACGCATCACCGTAAATGCGAAGCAGTATAGCCAGGTTGTTGGGTGATAGTGTCTTTGTATCAATACCTTTCGTAACGTAATAGTTGTGTTAATTTCACGATCAATTGGGCAATATGTCGTTTCATCTGTAGCATCAGTCTATTTCCACCTTTCTCAATTTTTAGCGAATGGATTGTTAATGACTTATTCAAATGCTACGCTGACGTTAGGACGCCACGATTGAAATGGGGAGTACGGTGTTGAATAGTATAATGTGTGATTTTATGATGTAAGGCTATGTTTTGAAAATAACCCATTCGAAAATGAAATCAAACTGTAAACTCTGGATGAGGAATGGTCATCTAAACTTTATGCTCAGAAATTGGTAGAGGGTGTACGCAGTACGGACTGTGGACTGTCCTTTTTATGAGCTTTTCTTAATTAGTTCAGTTAACTTCTTTAGGTGTATTATGTGGATCATAACACTCGAACAACAACTTGGCAGAGACCGACGGCGGATATGATTGAAGCTCATGAGCAGTGGCAGTCTGGAAGGGATCAGGCAATGCATCAATGGGAACAACGTTTCTTGCTCCAGGTATCCCTTTGATTTTCCAGTGAATCGTTGAAAATAATGAATGTAATCGTACTGAATTGTTTAGGCTAATTCTTTGACTGCAAGTGACGATCCTCTTGGACCATTGCCCGATGGCTGGGAGAAACGTGAAGATCCCAAGACAAGAAGGGTATACTTCGTGAATCATGTGAATAGAACAACTCAGTGGGAGGACCCTAGGACTCAAGGGTTTGTATCGTTGTGCGATTAATTTGCTCTTTAGTTTTTTTTTCTTTCATACCGATAAGTTTTGTGGAGATTTTAACGTATCAACTTGAAAACATTTCTGTTCTTGTGGACAACTGCGTTACCTTCTGGTGAGGTCGAGTTGCCTGGTTTTAAACGATTGCTTGCCCGCTCGCTATGCTATGAGAGAATTAGCGTAGGTGTAGGGAGGTGTATAATTTAGAATGCATTTCATTATGACATTTTCTTATTTATAGAGTGTCAGATCAGCCGCTTCCGGATGGATGGGAAATGCGTTTTACTGAACAAGGTGTACCGTTTTTCATCGATCATTCAACTAAAACGACAACTTACAATGATCCGCGTACCGGAAAACCTGTTGGACCGATGGGTGTCTTTGGAGTGTCGATGTCATATGAAAAGACGTTCCGGTGGAAAATCGCACAGTTCCGCTATTTGTGCTTGGTGCGTTTGGTACATCTCGTTTCGTTTTTTATTGATTGCTTTGTGATTGTGCTTTTTACAGTCCAATAGCGTACCGAACCACGTGAAGATAACAGTATCACGCACGAATGTTTTCGAGGATTCATACCAGGAGATTATGCGTAAGAATGCTGTTGATCTTAGACGCAGACTGTACATACAGTTCAGAGGAGAGGAAGGACTCGATTATGGAGGAGTTGCTAGGTATTCATTCCTTATTTTTTTGTTGCCATGTATAGATGAATTTGTCAATCCATTCTAGGGAATGGTTTTTCCTGCTATCTCATGAGGTACTAAATCCCATGTACTGCCTATTTATGTACGCTGGTAACAGCAACTACAGTCTTCAAATCAACCCAGCTTCATTTGTTAATCCTGATCACCTGAAATATTTTGAATACATTGGAAGATTTATTGCCATGGTTAGTTTGATATTTTTTTAACGAATATTACTTGTGAAATGGGTTAAACGAGGTAAAGCTGCTCAGTCTTCGGCGCTCAGTCCAGAAGAAACGCAGAGGAATTGGCGCTGCTTTTAAAATGTGAACAAATTATAGGCGAAAAATAATTTCTTTCAAATGTTCAAATATTCTATCCCTTGTATTTTACTCGGGTTTTGTAAAGTGCTCTCATGTGTTCTATCTAATCTAAAAATTAAATCAGTGGAGCTTGCATCAATAGAGGCAATAGTGAGTCATGTTGAAAATTTCATCACCACGACCGCGGTCACCTTCTGAAGTACTTCACAAAGAGGGCAATCGCAGAACATATGCAGCACTAAAGGAAGTTGTCGTTCTTTGTCTTAAGCTTTCGCATTGGTTGAGTTTAAAGCCTGGGAGGTAGCAGTCAGTAAGTGGGAGAAGACGAACCACGTAATGTGCCTCATATTTTGCTTTCCTGCCGCCATGTGATTGTACTGGCGCGTGAAGTTTTCTTGAAACGAAGGATGGGCGCCATAAGTTAACCGAATAAGTCGTCTCAGTGACTATCTACCGAGGATTTATCGGCGCTCGAGGCAATCTACATCTACGAAATGTGTGTTTCACTTTGTGTCCCTTAACCTTAACCTTCGAACATTCAGCGATTAGTCTAGTGACTTAGGACGCACTAGGCACCTTGCAAGAGTGAAGCAGGAGAATGATGAGCCCTGGCCGCAAAGTTCTTCCTGATCCAGCCTGTTTCTACAGTAATTTGATACATTTCAGTCCTCACCCAGTGGGCTTCGTAATTGAATTTGAAAAAAACTTGATGATCTAGCTGCACCAAGGTCGGCCGTCACGTCGGGAAAATTCTGAAATTGGACGACTTCTCTCTGAAGCAAAACTTTGAACAGTGCCTTCCTCCCAACGACGCGTGGTATTCATAGGTCGTAGAACTTAGCGCACACAATGGGTGGAGGGTATCCTTAATTGTTGAAATGGTAACATTTTCAAAATTTATCCAAATTTTGTGAAAAATATTTCAGCTCCCTGGAAATCTACTTCTTCCCTTGTCTCACGAAGAAACAGACGCCCGCTTCCCTCCCCCCCCCTTCCCCCAGAACCACAGCACACAATCTTCTTCGCTCTTTGGAAAGACTTCAACGGGTGCTTGGCCTCAATAATGAGCTGCGCTCGTTTTTATTTGCGTTTTTTTAATTGCCTTCAAATTTTTCGGGCAAGAGGCTCAAAGCTGGCGAAGCATTGCATTCAAGTAATGGGCACCAGTAGCGATTAATATATACTCGCGCGATGTTATTGAATCTTGGAAAAGGTCCAAAATTATTCAAGTTTGATGTTACGACCAATATTTGTTAGTTTATTCATAACAGTATGTTTCTCTTCCGAAGGTAGGCCGAACCCATGGGTGAAGCTTTTAGAATGGAAAAATAGGAAGTTACTGTCGCGAGCGATTTGCCTTGGGATTTCATCCTTGGTTTTAGACTGTTGCCTTGTATCCTTCAAAACTGCAAACGCTGACAGCAGTTCTACCTATTCGAATCGCTAGATTTACTTTAATGATAGCTATTAACCCATTGGCGACATTGCGGGTCGATGTTGGGACGCAGCATAGAGATAATTCTTCTACGCAAGATTTTTAAAATTATTATAATGGCACATTAATCAGGAAGGCGTTGTAGTACTTATGGTAATCGTGGCCCATGCATATCTTTCCTAAATAATGTTTTACATAAGCGGTGCTAAAAAGTGATTTTTTAAAGCAAGGCTTGTTATTTTTAAGTGTATACGGCTGGCTTCTTGCTTTCAGTTAGCTAGAGGGCTGGTACAACTTCTCACTAGAAGAGAACGGGATTCGACCCTATTTGCCAATTCTGGAGTGGAAAATTGAAGTTCTCCTCGCTTGCTCCGAAATCCACCCTGGCCGAACGAAAAGATTTACGCTCATTTCGGGTGCGATCGGGAAAGTTTTGAAACGTGCAAAGTCTCAACAGTGTCTGCTTTGAGATTCAACATTTTTGGTGCCAGTAGTTTGGTGCATTACGACGCATTTTTCGAAAATATAAAAAATCGCATTGTCGCCAATGGGTTAATATGGGTCCAAGTTCTTCTCCTCCAGTGATTGTATTTACTCTGTGAGAACGGAGTCTCCCCAAAGTAGGCTTTCTAGGCGGTGAGTCGCAGTTAGGCCTTGCAAAAGCGAATTTGAAGAAGCAAATAGGTTTTTGACCCCATGTTTGTTCGTGGCACCAAAACATAGTGTTGAGCAGAATTTGCTTGAGATTAAGGTGACGCAGACTTATTTTCTGGCACATCCTTTTCTCGAAGATTATGGCTCTGGTTTGTAGGGTGAACAGGTTTAGGACTTCTGCGTTAGCAAATAGAGAAATTTTCGGATCTCATTCAGGATAACTCTGTGTTTTGAAATTCTTGCTGAAATTGCAATAGTTAAGCTCTTTTAGTTATATCACGATAATGTGCAATGCGTATATATCAGATTGGGAAATTTCACTCATGGGTTATTTTCAGGCACTCTTCCATGGCAAATTTATCTACTCGGGCTTTACTATGCCATTCTACAAAAAGATGCTCAGCAAGAAAATCGCCTTGAAAGATATCGAGCAGGTTGACACAGAGTTTTATAATTCTGTAATGTGGATCAAAGACAATAACATCGATGAGTGCCAAATGGAGCTGTACTTTGTGGCGGATTACGAACTGCTCGGTGAATTGAAAACTCATGAACTGAAGCCAGGTGGAACGGATATTGCTGTTACCGAAGCCAACAAACTTGAGTACATCGCTCTGCTGGTAGAATGGCGCTTCAACAGAGGCGTGGAACAGCAGACAAAAGCGTTTTTCACTGGTTTTAACTCAGTGTTCCCACTTGAATGGCTGCAATACTTTGACGAGAGAGAATTGGAGCTGTTGCTGTGCGGTATGCAGGATGTCGATGTCGATGACTGGCAGCGGAATACCGTGTATCGTCATTACGCACCACAAAGCAAGCAGGTGGTTTGGTTCTGGCAGTGGGTGCGAAATCTTGACCAGGAGAAGCGTGCGCGACTTCTACAGTTTGTCACCGGCACATGTCGTGTTCCAGTCGGTGGTTTTTCTGAGTTAATGGGAAGTACTGGACCTCAATTGTTCTGTATTGAGCGAGTTGGTAAAGAGAATTGGCTGCCGCGATCGCATACATGTTTTAATCGTCTCGATTTGCCACCATATAGAAGTTATGAGCAGTTGTCTGAAAAGCTGAATATGGCGATTGAAATGACAGAGGGTTTCGGGAATGAGTAATGTGATATTGTGATTATCGACTTGTCTGTGATAACAAATCTATGGTTCATAGTTTCTAGTACTGCACATAGTTTTTCTTTCTAACTGTCATTATTTTAACCTCTTAATAGCACACAATATAGTCGTCGTGAGTTCCTATGAAAGGTTGTGAGCAAATCAAATACATGTTCGTTCGTTTTGTTGTAGGAAGCTATTTCTACTTAAAGGTGTAAGGTTTTATTCATCATGATAGTCAGTTTGTATACAAGATTTTCTTCTTCACTTGCTCTGTGTGTTTCTGATCATTGCAGAGGACACTAATAAATAAAATTTCGTCATGTGTATAGACAATAAAGATTCATGGTAGAAGTATTGTGATTGAAGTGGTGTTCGGACGTTTGGTTCCGTGATCATATTGTGTTTTTATCTGTGTTTGACTTTCGCGGCGATTTTGTGCTTTGAACTTTGCGAAATCTCCTATAGCGAATTTTGAGGGTTAGTTTGTCAGTATGGTCGCGAAGGTGGAAGTAGACGCTGCGAGGAAGGAGGAGATGGAGAAGGTGAGCCATGAACTGCTGTTTGCTTTCCTATTTCTGAGTCTTTTGATAGATCCGTGTGTTGGTTATATTACATCTTATGTGATGTTTCATAGGTGGTGGTCGAAGACGGATCAGATGATTCTGATGATGACGCACCCGGTCTAGATGGTGAGTTGACGGAGGAACAGAAGAAAGTCGCAGAAGCGGCCGGATTGGGAGATCAGATGGACAAGCAAGTGAAACAGAGTCGTTCGGAGAAGAAGGTAGCTTGAAGTGTTACGCAAATATAGAGTGGCTTTCTATTATTGAGTCATCGCTCTATGATGATTACTGGTTTGCTAAGTGTTACTTTGCCTGCCAAGTTTTATAACTAGTTTTGCGAGGAAAGAAGTAGAGCCAGTGTCACTAATGCTCTTATTTGAAATGATTGACATTTGGGTCTAAGCTGGATATGACGGTCTATTCTGATGTTTATGGTTTTACAAAACATTTTAAACCCATTTTGAGAACGGGTTCAACATCGAATCAATAGGCTTACTATGCACTATCGTCATGACATACTGTAGTGTGATTGCATCACTTTTGAGCATTTTTTGTTGGAATTCGGTCAACAGGATCTTAGGCTATTGCATTTTATTTAGGCTCGCAAGCTCTTCTCGAAGTTGGGTTTGAAACCGGTAACTGGCGTCTCAAGAGTATGCATTCGTAAATCGAAAAATATTCTGTTCGTAATCAACAAGCCAGACGTATATAAGAGCCCCGGTTCGGACACCTACATTGTATTCGGAGAGGCGAAGATCGAAGATCTGTCGCAACATCAGCAGCTGACTGCTATCGACAGAATCAAGCCCAGTGAGGACACCCCAGTGCCTTTGGCCACAGTTCAAGAGGATGAGGATGATGGCACAGAGGTTTGTTTATTTTCGATTAGCATGCGTATTCGAAGAGAGTTGGCAGCTTAGCGGCTTTTCAAACTTGTGGTTGCTTACAGGAGGACGCAACCGGTATCGAGGAAAAGGATATAGAGCTGGTCATGTCCCAGGCAAATACCTCCCGCAACAAAGCGATTAGAGCCTTACGATCTGCCGACAATGACATTGTGAACGCGATCATGAGCCTGACCATGTAGTAGCGATTTGATACTCAATTTATTGTTCCGTGTCTTTGTTGCCTATGAAGATTACATATAAACAATTTGCACTTTGATCGCGTATCACAAAGGCAATGCCGGGACTGACGTTCAGGTTCCAATAAGAACACATCTACTGTTTTGGGATTCAGGTTATTTTCAGGTTCTGGCTTTTCGTGTAGGTAATTGTAAGTCACTCTGTGTGGATGGGATGTTATATGATGGAGTTGTGCGACGAAAATACCAAAGATAATTTATTGGAAATAGACGGCAGTTCATGTAACATGGATCCATTGATGATAAGATACCTCACGAATAGCTAGAATCATTATCAAAAATACCTAAAAATACAGAAATATATTTGTGTAGTGATGTCCTCTAGTCCCGCTCCTCATCGGTCAACACCATTGTGGCAAAGAAGAGTACGGCGGCAGGGTGATAGTGAAGGTCACGTCCTTGAAGAGTTCCTTTCGCTGGGAAAAGTTCAAAAGTGAATTTGATGGGCTCTGAATTCTCAAAACGGCATTTTTTGTGGAGCGCCGATGTTTTCTCGGCAGAACGGGGAACGTGCAATCTGTTTTGTGCCGTAGTCAGTGTAAATCAGCCTTGGCGGTCCGGACGAGACCTATCTCTGAGATGGTGGTTTTTTTTAACTTGGTGCAGTTGCAGGCCGATCAGCGCTTTTCAGTTCCAGCCGGTATCAAATTGAGAGCAGAGCAGTTATGTTAAAAGACTATGTAAGGAATATTCTACAGTAAGGTGATTCAGCCGGAAAGAAAAAAAAGTACAGAGCATCGATATTGCCTAATCCTTTACGCTTGCATGAATTTCAATAGAAGCGATCAGTTGTGAGTCAGACTGTAGGCAGATTTGTATTAAGGTCTGTACTCGATAGAGTATGGTCTTGGTTTCGCCTCAATTGAGCCACAATGAGCAACGTCGTACAGAGAAAATCGGTCAAAAGCAAGGGGTTAATGGTTCGCTCCGAAGTAACCATCTCAAGTTGGCCGATGAGCAGCGTCATGTTTAAAGGAGTTATGTAATAAACTCACTTTACTTCCCACCACACGGCATAGGACATGCTTGCATTCCGCAGCATCCACCTCCGCCACCACCGAAGCATGCCAATGACGGAAGTACAAGCAGGAAAAGGCAAATGAGGAGCAGAATCTGAAATGATCGAGCCGTCTGCTGTGAACGATAAGCTGATCGTGGGCAGTATACGGTTGGATTAGAAGAGAGCTTACGAGCTGAATCTGCTGAGCGAGCATTGGAGGCGATTGGCAGCTGTAAGCGTCGAGTGGACGAATCTGAAACACGGCGACAGCTTTTATTCGCCAGAATCCGGATACAGTCGTAACTTGAATACGTCGTCGATTCGCCTCACCGCCCTTGATGATGCCCCGCCCACTTGGTTGGCTGTCCAGTGTGGCGGTTAGCATACACCGCGATATCCTGGCTACGATCTCGTTGTGCTCGGTACTTGGGTTTAGACCGGCGGTGAAAAGATTAGACAGCAGAGCATTCCAAATTTAAACAGGGTTAGCAAGTTAGGAACACGAAGAAAGAAATATTGGCATCGATACATTTTGTAGAGTACCGCATTTGTTCCTTCCAGAGAAGGTCAACAGGTTTGCACAATGTACTTATGCCATCGCCGTCACTTAGTACAAATGTAAATCTTTTGAAAATAGTCTGATTCAATGGCATGATCTGGTTCTCAGCCTTAAAATGGACGAATGTACTCAGTGAAATTCTCGGCTGACGAAAGTTGCAAATTGACTCTATCTATCCAGAAAACACTGAGTTTTCATCGGGTGCCGTATTTCGAGTTGTTGTAAGTTTGGTTAGGTAAAGTGAGTTTGTTTCCTCAATCGTCCTACAAAGTAACTAGCCAGTTGTGGTGTGGTCACTGGGTAGAGATGTTGAGCTCTTTGGCTTCTGGTGGTCCCATATGGGGCGGTAGTCAATCCTTCCCCCAGGGGGATGCATCCTCCTCCTCTGATTCAATCCTCTGGGGGGACAAAAAAGGGTTGCGTCATAGGACCTAGCATACCTCTGTGTTTCTACCTGCCAGACAGTTAGAGCAGCGCGACTACCCTCCACTGATGAAGCACTCTTTTCCCTGAGGGGTCGCGCTGCTCTAACTGTCTGGCAGGTAGAAACACAGAGGTATGCTAGGTCCTATGACGCAACCCTTTTTTGTCCCCCCAGAGGATTGAATCAGTATAGGGGGATATATACCCTGGGGGAAGGATTGAATACGCCCCTTGGTACCCCGTGGTGCCATAACACCAATGTGTACCACTGGATTCAGTGGGTGCTTAAGGGCTCTTCATTTGTGTTAGGATAACTGAAGTAAAAATGGTTCGATTTCCTGTTCTGTAGCCCAAAGCAATCACAATAATAGTTTCTTACGAATCGTTCGGTATCCTCGTTTGGATGCTATGAGGCCGTTCCGCAAAGGCAATCATGCGAGCTAGATTACGCACTGTGATTGATACCATAAAAGCTGAATTACAAGCTTCCAGAGTGGGACATTTGCGGCCAGCAGTCAGCCATTTTTGAATGGGAGAGTGTGTAATTGGCAATCATTGAAATTGAAGTCCTAAAATACTTTCCACCTCAGTGTTCCCTATTTATACTCAGTCCCATTCTCTTCAACTTTCGAAGAATCGTTTTACATTCCATGCCCGCCCCCAATCCTCTTCCTCCTTCCATCAGAAACGTTTCCAGTCCATTCGTTTTGTTCTCGTCTTCCGATAGTCATCGTTGCATTTTTTGCATATTTTTTGTTACCTATTAGCCTAGTGTCCTTGTGACGTAGGAGATATATGGCTCGTTCGTCGTATTCTGAAGCATAGCTTCACTTTTTACTCCTCATTTATAGCTGTGATGTAAACTTATAGTATGACATAAGCAAAGCGGAATCTCTTATCCTGCGTCTGTTGTACTGTACTTTTAGATAAGAAGTAATAACAGGGAAATTGGTAAGGTCGAAACTCTTCGATTTTGCCCACATTTTGTCCAGTCACCTCTGCGAGCCGATGGATTTTCTTCACTTCTGTTTTTGACACCGCGGAATATATTTTCAGGTATATTTTCAATAAGTATGCTAAGGAGAAACGTTGGAAATGCTGGGATCAAAAAAGTTCCAGAGGTGAAAAGATTGCGGAGTTTTCTCGAGCAGCCGTCTGGAAGTGTGAGTTTTCTCAGACGCAGTACTGCAATTCATTTTCTTTAACCCTTTGACGACCGCCGTTATGAATGCGTCACTTCACTTCTTTCTAAATTTTTTCATCAATAATCATTAACTCTCCAACAATTTCACTATTAGTAATTAGCGCATTATTCCGCGAATTCGATAATGTATTTGTGTAGTTTTGAAACATAAAAAATGCCAAAATAAACCCCTAAAAACGTGTCGCCACCGAGCGAAAGTGTGGCCCACCGGCGGGCCACA